AATTTAATAATATTCCACATAATATAATATATAATAATATACATTTAGTTGCCGGGCTTACAACCAATGAAAAGAAAAAAATACAATTAATGCAAAATTATTTTTGTAAACAATTAATGAAAATACCAGAAGAAACATTAATATTATATTCCATTACATAGCATCTATATTGGTTATAAGACATGCTGAACTAAGTCGGTTTAGAAAAACTGTTCTACTTTAGTAATTACTTTATACTCTTATTAAATTAAGAATGCGATGATGATGGTGTAGTGGTGTACTGTCAAATTAAATTACGTTTTTAAAGAGATTAACGTATTGTTATTCAAGGGTTTAATTAATATAGATGATCAAAATCATTTTTACGCGACTTCATTTAATTAGTTTATGTGTCATTTTGGACTTCAGCTTATTTTAGAAACAAATCCTTTGAAGATTTAATTAAGCTCAAGAATAAAGAAACATAATGACCATTAATTTTAATTCAAACCAATAGCATTAGTTTATTACCATTTTACAATATTTTCAACCCTAAAATCACGGAGGTTCTCATTTTCAGACAAACTATACTTATTGTATACGTAGCCACGTAGGTATAAAGGATACCACTATAAAAAATATGTATCAATTAAAATTGATTTAATTTAAGATGTTCCTAAGTATAAACCCTTTATAATAATATATTACAATAAACATACTATTGTTTCAGGCTCGTGGCGCACGCTCGGCCCGCGACTGAAATAGCTCACTTCCCGCCCCTGCCACACAATATACTATATATTTTTATTTACCCCGCGGAAACTTAGGCCATTGCGGGTGGTTTTTTACTGTGGGGGGAGGTATTGTAGGTAAACACGCGTGTTTGATAGTTTGGCAGATTTTCAAGTGGGAACCTGAAAAGTAGGTATCTGCCTTGCCCGGGTGGGGGGTGGTGGCACATGTTCTCCGGACACCGTGACTTGCCTGAAGAAAAATGCCGCCCGCGGCTGAGGTTTCGAAGGCCACTCCGTCCCCCCAATGTACTATTATAACATAACAAGACTACCACCACCAGATTATACTATAATAATTATTTTATGCAAACCGATTCACATGAGAGGAAACCACCAAACAATTTGGAAGATTCTATTGGCTTGTTTCTGTTTTGTACCTATTTATAAATATATGCCAGTATGCCACTATTATGCATATTTTTATGAATAATAATAATATCATACAATTAAAAAAAATAAATATTTTATGAGTGTACCAATCCAAATTCTAAACAAATCAATTAGCTATTAGGTAACTCGAAATCTATTTTTGTGTTCACTTATATTAAATATAAGCTTTTAAAAATATATTCAAATAAATGTTAATAATATAATATATTTTGTCGATATTAAAGAAAAAATGTACAAACGAACATATTTTAAAAGTTTCAATTACTGATTAGTAAAATAACATAATAATTTAATATTATACTCAATAATTATATTCAAGCACAAAATAACTTAAAACATCGACTCCAAAAAAAAAACAAAAATGAACAGTTAAAATTTAGCATATTATTTTAAATAATTACTAACTTATGAAACACATTTGAAAGGATTAATATTAAAAATTAATATTGAATGAAAATTTAAATACTTATAGAACATATTTTACTCAAAAATAAGACAAATATAATTTTATCGTAACAAAAAGTGAACAACGATAGTGTTATAATAATGTTTAAGCACGCATAATATCCATTTATATTTTATATTCCACATAATATATTGGTTCTTTGACTCACACAGTTTAATTTCTCGTTCGTTTATTTTACGATCAATGATAAATTTGTTAGTATTTAAATAGGTGCACAAAATAGAAAAAAGGAATATTTTCAAAAATCTAAATTTATTTATGGACAATTGTAAACTCGCATGATTTGAAAAAAATCAAAATCAACGGAATAGCTGGTACCCAGCCACCGGATACCCAGGTAAATCAATGGTTTTATTATGTAGGTACAGTACTATATACACAAGCGAAATGACGAAGGAAATTACTGTATTAAAATGTTGTATACATGAACGGAAAAATACATTAATTGTAATAACTCATCTACGAAAACTGAGAGACGATTGTAACAGTAAAATCTATAGTAGGTTGATACTTTGATAGCACTTCATATATTGTAATATAATATATAAAACATAAAGTTTTATTTTTACTGCCTCATAATTTTAAACTAAAATCACCTTATACTTACATGAGTGATAATCAAATAGCAATTACATTATTAGCGTATCATAGTCGCAGCTAGGTGACTACACTTTACTGCACCTATTAAAGTTTACAGATAATTAAAACTGTTGTTTGACACATAAGTGTTTTTGACTGAAAAACCCCGTGGTTTAAGAATGAAAATACTGTACAACATAAAAACACTTAAATAAGATTGAGCTTTTCAAGTCAAAAAAATATAATATACTGTATAGGTACGTCTTCGTCGTTCTTCTGCCTAAATGCGACTTGGAGCGACTCTATTTCCAGACAGCTATAGAATATTGTAATATCTGCTACATAATATAATATGCCGAAGAAATAATTTGTGAGTTCATGAGCTTCATCATACTTAGGTACATGGTAAAAAAAATAATATAACAAAATAAGACAGTATATAATATTAAATAGGTACATTTTTTTAAAAACTTTTTATGTTTTATACAATGTTTACATTAGTCCGTCAGGCAGCTGTTGGACTGTATGTGTTTCAACAGGTCCGGAACGGCGATTTTCCTGGACGCCTCTGGGTGCTTTACAAACACACGTACGCCCAGTGTGGAGAAAAAACAATATTAATGATAATAATGTAATTGAAGCAACGGCGATGGCAAAAACAAAAACGCCACCAAGACGAATTGACCATATGCTCTTGTTGTTCACCTGGCGTGTTTATCTATGAACGCGTTATAGTGACGTGGGAGACGTAAATAAAGTGGATTCATAAAAAACGGTTGATTGGCTATAGCTGTAATATATGAAATTAAAAAATAAATAAAAAACATAATCAACCGAATCGAACAATGTCAGCGTTATCGATATAGGTCATCGGAATCTAAAAGTAAAAAAAAAAGTTATTTTTTATAACGTTCGGTAATGATTCCGTCTTAGAAATAATGTTCACTGTTACTCAACACGTCATACTATATAAATAACAACACTCGTCGATAAATTTTTATTAGTTTACTAAAATGTTGTTCTCGACTCTCGATGAACTAAGTTTATATATTTTTAAATCAAATGATTTATTATTATCACAAAATGGATCTGTATAAAATATTGTAATGATTATGATAATATAACTACACTTGAAATTTAAATCAACGACATCAAATAGTATTCTTATGTATGTAGAAATACCCTCGATTTTAGTTAAACACACATTATATGCCAGCGTTGACCTTTTATACTGAGAGTCGTATTTATCATAACACAACAATAAAAGCTATATACCAAGTAATAAACCACCGTGGTAGTAGAATGCGTTAATCATGTAAAATTATAAAAATGATAATGCCTCTGGAAGTATATTTAAGTACACCTATAATTTTTCTTCCATATTAAATTACAGCCGAGGAGACTTATATACTATTATAGGCATATTATATTATAAACAAAAACGTATGATGCTATTTAAATTGTTATCCTAACATACACAATTAAAACAAATATATTTTCCCGAAATACTATTGTCATACACTCATACCCTCGAGTGGTATGTTAATTGAGGTCTGGGACCCCATCCTGCAATGTATATATACGTTTCCCGACCTGGATCACACACCTATATACATATTATAATATATATATATATATATATATATGTATATATTATATATAATATTTATGTACGCCAAACAAACTCATAGGAACGGTTTCGTCGCACTGTGGCTTAAATTTCCACTACAGAAATGTTTTGCTATTCGCTATACTGTAACGGATTCTATTTCAAATAGCTTAAAAATCAACCTTTTTACGCATAATATGTGAAAAGTATCAAATTTGGAAGGTAGGTAATATAATGAAACTAAATTATCGTAATCGCTATACCTATACTGAGTATCATTTGCAAATTGGGATCACAGAAGTTGAACATAAACTAAACAAATTTTATATAATATATAAACCATGTATAATAAACAGGATTGAAAAGTATATTATTGTTATGTAGTTACATATACATGTACGTATGGTTGTTAATGCATACTGATTGAGAATCGATCATTTAGATTTTAGAATTTCATAAAACGTGTCATTATTTTTGACTAATATAGTTTTTTTATGATAGTTTAAATTTTTTTAAGCACATATATGTATATCGACAACAAAATAAACTGTATTATTTTTCATAGCAACAGATATTTATTTTATCGTTTAATTGATTCTAGTATTGGTTTTTTATCAAAATGTTGTTATTGAGGAGAGCCATGAATTTCAGTTCACTACTTTATCAACTACATTTCTCTGAAGCTTAGTAAATAGTTTTGATTATAATAATTTTGAATAAAAATCTTTTTGGTGATTCTAACAAATTTTATATAAGCTAATCAATAACCAGTCAATTTTAAATAGGATCTCATATTGTAAAGTTCGATGGTTCATTCTTTATACAGTTTAAGAGTTTTTGTTTTAAACCATGCACATTTCGTTTTGCATAAAATCAAGTACTTATATAGTTTTCAATTAAAATATATTTTAGTATTGCTAATTTAAGTTGACATAATGTGACACATCAATTATCCTGCAGCTTAACCACTTCCAATCTTTAGAGATAAGACGAGTACTTATAAACTTAAGTCAATCTAGGCAATTAAAAAATAGATTTTCTATTGGACGTAAACAATTACTATTATTTATGTATATATAACAATTAATTCTTAATAAAATATGTTTAATTAAGTGTGGTCTACGAACGCTACGAACGATTGACGCCCAGTAAACTGAAAACAGTAAGAGGGTTAGTTACAAACTTACACCTCGAGCCCATTTCCACCAAAACTCGGACGGCGATCAGGTCTCGAATAAACAAACCGAGTAATGGACGTCAAGGTTGCGTCCCAAGACAGTGACCGGTAGATATGGGTATGACCGAGGTACAAGAACCCTGCACTGGTCATCAAACCCAAACCATTCCAACGTGTCCAACATGGCACGCAGACACGATGCCACTGCTGAGGCCCGAGCCAAAGTCCAAGAATATGTAGAGCTGTATCTTCGGTGTGCATGCACCGACATTTCAAGGACACCATATTATTTACCATCCGGTCGGCACGTGCAGGATGGACACAGAAACCATCCCTATCTGCATTACTCTGTCGTACCACCGTGTTCGACCACCGGTCATGGATCTAAGGGTAGTGAAAACGTGCCAAACCTACATATCAGCTTCCATCTCAACAGCGTCCACCATCGTGATTGTTAAAAAGGGCACTGACTTGACCAAATATGATTGCCAGTGATCGCCGTCTGACAACCTGTGGTTAACGTTTGGGTCCACCCGCGCTTGTTCTATTCTTATTGTTTCTGGCCGATTTTTCGTAAGGTTTTCGTTGTCAGGGTTTTTTATTAACAAAAACATAATTACGACTCATATAGCTTCTCCTCGTAGGGGAAAAAATATATCGAGTCGCGTGTTATGGTTTTTAATTTATGATTTTCATTTAATATTTAAACTATCTGCCTATATGGCTATTTCGTATAGGTTATGGTTTTAGTAGTTCTATGTAAAATGTTTCAATTATGAATTTCCAATGTTGTTTTAAATATAATCGAATTATACTATTAATAGGTAGAAAGTTATTGTTTTAGTCACATTTAAACTATTTTAAGTAAACGAAGTTATTACGGGGAAACAATTTAACTAATCGATATTAATAATTATTATTTCACTATAACTAATAAATAGTTACTAGTACCTATGTTATTACTTATTATTGTATGTTACAACTAAAAATAGTCAACTATGACGTACCTACTACCTAGTCATCTATACCAACAATTAATGAAATTTGACTTTTTTTTTGTATCTGTTTCATTAGATTTTTGATTATTATAAAAATTAATAAAATATTGTATAAAAAGATAATTTAATAAGAACATGTATTTATAGCTCTAATTTTATTATTCTATAATTAGCTTTAATAACAAATATTAATTAGCTTACTCAACCTTAGGTGAATAAATGAAGCAGTGAATTAAAATTGATGATATTTTGACCATCTACATTTTTAAGAAATATCTATTTACAAAAGTTTATTAAAAGATGTTTGCATGCATCTATTTAAAAAAATGAAGTTGATTGTTTTTGTTAGAACAAGCTTAAATTTTTTTATGAACCCTAAAAAATTGCCAGGTAAAAATTAAGAATCTTCTTTTCGTTTTTAGAAATTCATTCCATACATAGTGGGTATACACGATATGCACATAAAATAATGTAGGTAGGTACATATTAATTTTTTTGTACAGATTTTTAAACTTAAATAATTCAAAATAGGCCGCAAATTGCTTTATACAATTGGAACACAAATATCTTCTTAAATTATCCCCCCCCCCAAAAAAATGCCTATTTCGGAAATTTTAAGATTTTTAACAAAAATATACACAATAAATACCTATACGGAACGTTAACTATTGATAGTACTATAGTAATATATCATTATCAACATGTTTGGATGTACAGTTTGTGTAACTAACTTGAAATAATTGTCGATACTGGTCATCTATCGCCGTAATATCGTTAATATAATAATATTTTATATTACATTAATCTTTAATTAATTACAACAAATATTGAATTATTAAAAATCAAGGAATAAGTAAACGATTAAATATTCAAAAAAATATTATTTTTTAATTAATATTATTACACATTATTTAATTAAGGATTAGGATGAGGATTTTGAAATATTCTCAATACAAACTCAGTGTTAACTCCCATCAACTTGCGTGGACACTTAACAAAATTATATTAAAAAACTAAAAGCATAAAAATCCCAACTATAATAATGAATAAATTATAATGCTTCGATGATAGGACTAGGTGGCAGCTGGTGACGAGAAGTGACCATGACGGCGTGCGGTGGGGATTTTCCGACACATGAGTGTGCGAGCACTAAAGGAAGATATTTTTTTTTTGAAAACCCGTAAACGGAGTCTCCACATCGCTTATTTAAATAATTAATAAATATTATCATAATATTATAATACTTATATTTATATAATTTGTATGCTATATATACAGTGTGTACTAGTCGTTATAAAAGCACGGCCGACCGGCAAGCACCGCGATCCCTGTTGAACACATATATTATATTCCGCCATATTGAGCCCGAGCGGCAGCGGACCGCGGGGGACGGCGGCGGACGATAAAAACGAGAGGCGCGCTGTATTTTAATCTCGTATAACTCATCTCCCTCCTACTCTCGACGACTCGCGCCATAAAAAGCAGTCCAAGTAAACTGCAGAAACAAAAGGCTCCGCCACCGCCTCCGTTGCGCGAGTGTGTGCGTGTGTGCGTGTGTGTGTGTGGTAGGAGAGGGGGCGGCGCGGAGGAGTTTAGGTTTTACGACGTAGCCTTCTTAATTATATATGCGCGCAACGATTTTTCTTGACTCCCCGCCGCCGCCGATTTGCAAAGGCGAGAGGTGACCTCCCCCTGTGTCGCCCTCACCTCCGTCGGAAAACGGGAGCTCGTTTGAATCCAAAACACAATTTATAAGCTTAAAGGGCGCGCGCGCGCTCGCGTTCCCGGAACGTGTATATAGATATGTATATATATATATTTGTATTATACTGCGCGGGACGCAAAAAATAAGCCGAGTGCAATTTACGATTCTGCGGTCGGTCTGCGGCCGCCGCTGGTTAATATATATATTTAAGCGGGACGAAGTTTTTCGTTGGGCAAACAAAAAACTCCGTTTCGGTTCTGCAAAACCGTATAATGATCCAAACGGATAAAATAATAATACATATAGCACGACTGTATATACCTTAATGTTTTATACAAGGGTATAAAAGGTACCGAAGGATACTGAAGGGTAAGTATGATATTTTAATAATTATATACTTTTTGTAGCCGATCAAAGCCTCGTCGATGTTATATATTTATCTAATAATATATACCTAGGTACTGCAGTTATACCACCACGACTGATATGACACGAGTGCTGCACTACCGGCTTAATAAACATATGATTTTTACAAATCATATTTGTAGATTCGTTATCCTTTTACATTTTAAGAAACGTATTATGTATTGGTCTCACGCTTTTTTTTTAACTCTTCCACTATTTTTACAGCAGAAAAAGCTATTGTGGCACTATAGTTAAGTGTGAATACAATCGCAGAAAAGAGATGACTGTTGATGATTTTGTCAATATCGTCTTCGATCGTCAGAAAAGCCTACAGAACAACAACTGCAAAATTTGTTGACAACATTTTATTTCCCATCGACGGTGTCACAGTTTTAAAATAACGCACCTAATAGTAAAACACGTGTACACATATTTAGTCCAAAACTAATAGAACCGTATACACTATACACTCACTGGAAGTCTTAGTCTCCCTGCGAGGTGTCTGACGCTTCACACTCAAAGGCTTGAGAAAAACGCGATGTTTTCGTCGGTTAGGTGGTGAGGTTTCAATGTTTGAAACGACTATGACGTGTGTGTGTGTGGATAAGTTAGGGTGGGCGGGGCAAAAGTTTATCGCTTTACCTGTCGGACGACGAACAATAACCGCACGCTGTCGCGTATTATTTATAAAGTAAATATATATGTAAAGGATGGATTTTACCACCTCGCAGAGTGTTGCGGTGGTGGTTGAGGGGAGGGGAGTCATTCCCGCGGGAGAATGCCGCCTCAAGACGCGCGAGCGTGTTATCTGCGGTCCGGGCGATAAAATTGGTGGACAGAAAAACCACGAAGTGCGCGCGGGTTTACGAGCTCCTTGGGAAACGATCGCGACGAAAACTGCGTGCGCGATAAGGTGGCGAAATTTATGGCGGTGGCGGTTGTGGTCGTCGTATAACGCGCCGCGCGACGACGGTGGCCGATGGCCGAGAAAGTGGGGTGGGCGGCCACGGATTTACGGTGGCGGGCGGGGCGACATTATTATTGTGTGCGCCGCTCGGCAAAAACTGCGAGGGCTGATAAAGGCGACCGTCGCTAGCGGTGGACGGCTGGCTGGTGGGGTGGGGGTGGCGAAAAAGAGACGACGCGTATAGCTCGAAGACGGAGGCAAAGGCGACGACGACGACGACGACGACGACGGTGGCGGTCGGCGGCGCGCGTACAAATATATTGATCGGGGGCGGGCTCACTACTCTTTCTCTGCTCTCTTTTTGACCATCTTTCGTTCTTCTTTTTTCCACACACCCGCTCGGCGGCGGGGTCGCTCGCCCGTCCGTCTGCGAACGACCGTCGACCGTCCGCGAGGGCCACGCGTAATATAAGTCGGTGTGCTGCCGCGCTTCAAAAAAAAAAAAATTATATTACCCTGAAAATAGTCTGATTAGTGATTTGGCTCGTCGTGTCTACGACTTTTTAGCTTTAGTAACGTCGATATTTTTAAGTGCTCCAACCCCGTCCATGGCTGGCGACCGGTCGGCTGACATGTGACGGCCGGTGAGTGGGCAGTGCGAGAGGGGCTTACACGTTAACGCGTATTTATTACTTATCCACCCTCCCTCTGCAAGCACCATGGAAATTTACATGAACATCTCAGTTCACTTCTCTTGTAAATAAAATTTTTTCATGTTTGTTGTAGATTATATGATTTACGCGTCGATTGAAGAGATGCTTTGAATAATTAGGGAAAGAATATCGTTAAATCGTAACTTTTTTATGACAAAAAAATAATTATTTAAAAATTTATAATAATCTATAATGATGTACAAAATACAAAATATGTGTCATATTATATAATAATATATTTCTACTATCTACAATCAAAATCGAACAATTTATACACCAGGCTGGTCGAGTTTTTACAAGAAAATAACTACTTTACCCTTTACGTGGTCCGGCTAGACTGATTAACTATGTATATACCTACTGTATAGCACAATATAATACATCCCATCGTCAATTTTAAATATGTGGTTTTTGGGGGAAGGCAAGCACTCCCCTCATGCCTATATGTTAGGGGCCAAGCAGATTAAATGAAGGTAGATATAGTGGGTTATACACATAATATAATATATAAAATATATTATTTAATACGTATACATTATGCAAAAAGGTTGACGAAA